TTAAATCTTTAAAATACATTCCAGTACCTTAATTATTAACCAAAATGTATCTTATTTGTGTATCACTCGGCTGTAGATCCTCAAATCATCTCTGACTTGGTGCCGACACTGTCCTTCCTTCTGGAGGGGGGCTACTTTTGTTCCCCAAGGTCCCTGTGTGTGTTGTAAAGTAGTCACTGCTCCAAGCTCCCTCCTGTGATGGACTACAATCTCATGTTTAGTTTACTCATTTGTATTAGATTGTAGTCCATCACAGGAACGAGCTTGGAGTGGTGACTACTTTACAACACACACAGGGACCTTGGGGAACAAAAGTAGCCCCCCTCCAGAAGGAAGGACAGTGTCGGCACCAAGTCAGAGATGATTGGAGGATCTACAGCCGAGTGACACAAATAAGATGCATTTTTGTTAATAGTTAAGGTATTTGATTGCATTTTTGAGATTTAACTCCTGAGTTTAGTGTCATTTTAAAGGGTCATTAAAGCCTTGCATGTTTTTGCACACTGTTGCATTGACTTACCCTGTATCTCTCCTCTTGCAGTAGATATATGCAAAAACATATTTTAAAAAATGTACAAAAGGGTTAAAACTTACCTGTGTGTGCGCTGCGTGCTCCCATGCAAAGATCTGAAGATTCTCGGGCGGCCGCAAAGGATCGTGGGGCGGACGATCAGTAGAGATCTTCGGCTGGGAGACGACGAGAGACACGGGGTAAGTCAATGCAGCAGCGTGCACCCGCACAGACTCTGTTGGACAGGAAGAGACAGCGCTGGATCAGAGACCGGCACCAGCGCTGGAGGGACTCCTGGAGTCTACCGGAAAGAAGATGATGGGATCAAGAGGCATCATTTAAAGGAGAACTATGGGGTAAGTGTTTTTCCTCATAGTTCTCCAAAGTTCAGTATACCGCGAGCTACAGCCGCCGCAGCCAGGACGGATCCCGACATGTCGAGATCCACCCAGCTGCGTGATTGACAGCTGGCTCTTCAGCATATGTGTGCAAAGTGGAACTTGCACAGTGACAGCAGGCAGGGCAGTGGCAAAAATGTTTTCATACCCCTAAAACCACGAATCGATAAAACTAAAGAACGGTGGGTCATATTTTACATGCATCAATTTACAAACATTTGGCGTGAGAAACATTTTCTAAATATATGTCATCTTACATACTGATAGCCCTATGTTGTCGTCAGATGGAGGAAGTACATCTCTTGAGACCATCAACACTTCATAATATTAGGCTTTCGCAATATTCTCCATGTCCGGGTACACAATCATCAGTAGCAGCTTAATCATCATTACTTGATATCATTATTATGAATGAGCAATGTATTGAGAGATAAGAATCTTACATACCTGTTCCAGTGGATGGGACACGTCTCACCCCATAGTGATATGGCTTTTGTTTGTTTGTGGGGCTATTCTCCAAGCTTTCACTACATCTGCCGAGCTGTCAGCTTCAACTTCCTCTGCTATGTCTTGTGTCATACTAGTGCCATGAGATAGCAGAAAGGAAGTGTTGGTAAACTATAGTACTAATAACCGCTCTGTCACTGTACATATTAGCTGTCCCTGCAAGTCTTAAAGGAGAACTATTGGGTTAAGGCTTTTCCCCATAGTTCTCCTTAGGGTAACGGGAGGAAACAAACTAGCGTCCTCCCGTCACCCTAGGCTGAGACGCCGCAGCTGCTGCTCGCGGTATACTGAGAAGCCGCAGCTGAAGCGGATCCCGACAATTGTGCCGGGATCCGCCCAGCTGCGTGACTGACAACTGGCTCTGCCTATCTAGAGGCAGAGCCAGCTGTACTCGCCCCCTCCCCCGTCCGTTCCGCCAGTCAGCGCTGGCAGATCGGAGCGGGGAGGGGGGAATCCAGTCCCTCCCCTGTGACGGCAGAGAGCCGTGACAGGATCGAGAGGTTAGCGAACGCCGGTATGTGTTCGCTCACCTCCCGATCTACTGAGCCGACCTGTGACAGTCTCATTGCCACAGGTCAGCTAGAACTATGAAAAGCACTCATCTCATAGTTCTCCTTTAAAGTTAAAATGTTTTTTAAGCTAAAATGTTTTTTAAGCTATTTCAAATGCTGATTAAATGTCTTACAATGGATGCTGCTCGTTGTTATTTAAAAGTGTTAGTTTCCTGTAGCATCAGCCGGTCCCTGAGCACTGGCCCTGATATCCTGTTTTAGGGTGGTTCCTTTCCCTTGCAGGATCCTATGGAGACACCTTTGTGTGTGCTAGTAAGCTGTGTGTGTCTGTACAAACACACAGACACAGTGAGGCAAGGTACTCCCCTCCTCCCTGCTCCCCCTTCCTCCCTTCTCCAGGCTAGTAGATTGACAGCTGCTGGAGATGGATCTGTCCCTTGTGATCTAGTACTGGATGGGAAGTTAAGGGAAGCTGAGCTGAGAGAGCTGGAGCTGTTTGGACTCATGATTGCTGTAAGTGCTTGAGCAAAAATGTAAAGAAATACTTTCCTGGGCAATGTATAGTTGTCTGATCTGGGTTCATTATTGATAAAGGTTTAAGAGTCTAATACTACATATGGGCGCTGTACACACAGGAGACGTGGGCAGATCCCGGAGAGCGTCGTCTGCCCAGCTGGCCGAGGGACTGGTATGGTAATGACTTCTGCTAAGGATCTATGTGAGGGGAATGATTTGTCTGCAGGGTGGAGGTCGTGTCGCCATATTATCAGATTTGTGTCGAGCCGGCTAAACAGAATGAAGCCAGCTTCCCGGCTCCATGTTCCCTCGCGGCACTGCCGGTCAGAGGAAATCTCCCTCTGACCGAAAGTTCCATTATCGGGAAAGGTACAAGTACTCACCCAAATACTCAGTATTGATACTGATACTAGTATCAGTATCGGTGCATCCCTAGTATATATATATACTAATATTCACTGATTGTGTTACTGACATTCTGATCTACTGTTATGTCTTTTGAGCCCTAGATGGAGCTGTGGTTCAATGCTGGTCTATGCGTGCATGTTTTTCTATGATACACAGGAAGTTCTATCTGTATATATGTTTTTCCTCTCTATGATGCTGTGTTCCTGTATCCTGACATAATGTTCTTCTAAGCAAGTAAAACTTAATTCAGCATTTCTCAAGATCTCGGCTCTTCATTTAAACACATAACCAACAAGAATGACTTAAACCCCCCGAGAGTTATATATTTCCTGAAAGCAATGACTGATTGACTGTAGAATAAAATGGCGGCAAACTTTTACGTTGCACAATATTAGCCTAACTCTTCATTAAACCCAAACATTTCAGTAAAAATAACACTTAATTTTAGTGCTGAACAACCCAATATAATACCTATTTAGAAAGATAAACAAGAGGAGGTTACGATGAGTAAATAGATACCCAACATGCCAAGCTTCAAAGTTGTGTGCGCCCATGAAATGCCAACAAAAAACGGCCCCCCAAAATGTCCATAGGGGAAGCTTTAAAAGCCCGTACAGGTCATTAGTTTAGAATTAACCATGAATATTGGTTATTGCTCTCACTCTGGCGCACACGTCAATACCTAATGTGTATTGCAAATGACGTTTTCATACGTAGGCGCACCCGGCGCGTATTTACGTTTCAATGCGCGCATTTGCCGGGGACTTTTTAAAAAAAATGTTTTCAGTAAAACTTTTTTTTTTCTTAATTGCTGTTTCATAGGGTGGTGACAGGTACTCTTCAAGGTGACATTGGGGATCTACTAGACCCCCAGTGTCACCTTTCCACTGCAAAGAAGCTATTCAAGCGCAGATTGGAGAAAAAAAACACGCCTCTTTCTGGCTGCATTTGGGGTGCCATTAGAAATAAAATGGCAATGGTGTTTTGCCGCATTCACAGAACGTGCAAGTGTGAATGCTGGCTAAAAAGTTGGACAGCAGGCGCAGTGTTGATTCGTGCTAGGGTTGCCAATCCCAGACAGTCGGGTTTATGAGTCCTGTGTCCGGCTTTCAGGCCAGTTGACACCTGGACACAAGACACTAAGTGCTGATATCCGCACTTTAAATTGTTTGACAGATGCGGCTGCCTGAGTTCCCGTGCTTGCTGGGGACCTCGGCAGCCTTCCTCTAACTCACGAGTACCTGTAAACAGGTGCCGGCCCGCACATCTCGTCCTCCATCTTCCTGACACCATGCTGCACGCCTCCGGGCCCCTGGTGAGACACTGAACGGCCTGCACAGCACTCTTGAAAACCTACATAGCCCACCTGAGACCCCACACAGCCACCTGAGACCCCACACAGCCACCTGAGAGCCCACATAGCCCACCCAAGAGCCCGCACAGCCCACCTGGGAGCCTGCAGAGTCCACCTGAGAGCTTGCACTGCCCTGGTGAAAGCCCGCACAGGCCACCTGAGACACTGGAGACATCAGGGTGCCACCCTGGAACAATGAACCTTCATATTATTTTGTATTACTGTACTGCTGGGATTTGTAGTCCTCTGTAGCCGGTCTCCTTACTCCCTCCCCTGGCTGTCCTCGCTCTATATTCTCCAAAAGAAAAAGATTGCCACGCTGTGCTAGAGTGTTCGGGTTTCACTTGAAGAAAAGGTGGCAACCCTAATGCGCACGCCTTCTCGGCCATGCCTCAATTTACTTGCTCCAGCTTGAAGCCTCACAAGCCAAGTATTGTGCAACAGCGTGGGGGAAGGGTACACATTTTCACATGGTGCTAATTTTACCACTATACCGGTTCTCTTTAATTCACAGAAGCTGAGATCAGACCATGTGACCATCTTACCATTTACATAATGCCGTCATCTGCTAATAGCCAATCACAACTATTCTCTCATTCTGAGGCGAACGCCTGCAGTCAACAAAAGCACAGCGATTGGTTGAGTGTATGCAGGTCGTTCATTGGCTGCGAACGCAAAGTATTTTGCCCTCAGTTGGCTGAGTCTTCCTGTAGACATTCTTAGTCTTACGTGTGCCGTCGGTCTTGAGGTTCGCTTCGTACTTTGTGAAAGCTGGCCGGAGCGCTTAATAGATTTAGGGGCTTTGCTGTGACCAGAATTGCCCATCACATAAGTTGCCACAATCAAAGATGGCGGCGGAAGGCGCACAGTAAGGGCAAAAGAGAGAAAGGTGAGAAATGTCTGTGAAGCTCTTATACTGTCCGATTCTAGATGACAGCAAAACTCACGTGTTGACTTTCTCTATCAGATTTACTCTTGTGTCCGAGCCCTGTATTGGAATGTTTGTCGGTCATTTGAGGGCCTTTTTTATTTTGTTATGCTTTCAGTTGGCAGAGTGTATGTGTTCTAAAAATTCGGAGACTTCCGCCTGTGTGCTAGTAACTCTACACATTAGCACTAGGTATTATCTCTACAGGGACTGTGTGTACCCCACCAGATTACTGAAGCTTAATTCCAGCTAAAGAAATGTTTGAAATAAATTTGAATATATGAAGTAACATTTCGGTTTTTATTTCTGTCTGCGACCCCAATGGGGAGATTATTTCCTCACTTCCTGTCACTGTGACAACAAGAAATGAAGGGGAGCTGTTAACTGGACAGGTAGTCACAGATAGCAAAAAAAAATTGGGGAGGAATTAATAAAATCTGGGGCAGACAGAATGTGGAGCTGTTGTCCATGGCGACCAAATCAGCTTCTCTCTTTCATTTTCAAAGCTTAACTAAACAAACTGAGGACAAAAGCTGATTGGTTCCTACGGGCAACTGCTCCAGTTCTGATTAATTCCCCCCATTGTCAGATGTTCTAATCTTTCCTTCCTCTACTAAACACATATTTATCATCATGGGTATTTGGAACCACCTCTGACTGCAGTTTTATTGCAGTGCCCATTGGGTGGTAGTGTTTTTATTGCAGTTTTTGTCTTTTCCTGATGACATTTCCTTTCATACTTGTATTGGTGCCATGGGAACAGGAACAGTATGCGATCCAGTGCGTTCCAGCAGCTAACATTGCTGGAATGCACTGGAATTGGTGTGAACAAACCTTCAGTCATGGATTCCCCCCTCCCCTCTCTGTTCCTCCAGTGTTCATCGGGGGACAGACTGGAAGGAAGCGGGCACAGCTGGCTTTGGTTCTTGAGAGACAGTCAGCTGTCATTTAGGCAGCCGAGGTGGATCCCAACAATATTATCGGGGTCTTCCTCGGGTGCGGCTCTGCACTGTTTGCTGATAGCAGTCATAAGCCCACTATCTGCTGACTTTGGGTCACATTAGTAAATGTAATGTACTCCTTTGACATAAAAGAGAGGTAAGGCAAAAAAAAAAAGGCTTTGGCTTTATTTCTCTTTTCATAAATGGGCACAAAGGGAAAAACAAAGTCTCTCCTACAATCACAGAGAAGACCCCCATAAAGCCGGCCATACCCCTATAGATTATCTGCAGACTTTCTATGATCAGATGGAAAAAGTGCAACAGATTCCTCCATCTACGCTACACTGTGTGGACGGAGGAATCTCCCGCTGGCCAAGCTTCAGTATCTTGCTAGTCGGCCCCGCTGGCTCTCCAAATACCTGTTAAATGCCTGCATCCAATCAGATTGTTCAGGTATTTTGAGAGCCAGCGGGGCCGACTAGCAAGATACTGAAGCTTGACCCCAGGGGAGATTCCTCATCCACACAGTTTAGCGTAGATGGAGGAATCTCTGTTTCACTTTTTCCATCTGATCATGTAAAGTCTGCAGATAATCTATAGGTGTATGGCCAGCTTTGGACACCTCAGACTCCACACATGCATTTTATGAATGACACTATGGAGTAAACACTGCCGGGTCCAGCAGATAGCTGTGTCTGTTCTCCATATTAAATACGCCGTGAGCTATTTAAATATACAGGAAATGAGAGAATCTCCCTCACAGTGACATAGACAATAATAGTATTACAAGGTACTATATAAAGCTCCCCCCCCCCTAACATTGGCAAGTATAAAATGATGTCACTGTGTGATGTAACCATAGATAATGTGTATGTTATAAGCGCTTTTCTGTTCTTTCAGTACACACGCAGCTCTGTTATCTGTTTCCTGACCCTCAGCATTTTTCAGTTCTCATAAAATCTGTGCATGTGATTGCATTGGTATACATCACTAGGCATATAGTATATGTTCTCATCTTGACATTGTACATTTCAAACGTGTACAGAGAACTCCTTTAGCTCTAACAATGGTGAATACAATAGAAAAATGGCGCTATACTATATGATGTAACAGTAGGTAATGTGTGTTTTGTAAGAGCTTTCCTGTTTCAGCGCGCACACAGCTCTGTAAACCAGTTTTGTGACCTTCAGCATTCGTCAGTTACAATTCCTTATACAATCTGCGATTTGCATTGGTGTACATCACTAGGCATATATGTGTTCTCATGCTGACATTTTATATTCCAGATCTGCACAATGTTGGGCGAGCTGGTGATGGTGTTGCAGGGAGCGTCCCGCGTGGCCCAGGCTGTAGCAAAAATGGGTTGTGAAGAACTGCGGATGGCCCCTACAGCCTCCACTTTGGGAGCTGGGATGAGGTCCATACAGGCTACCGCGGAGCGATGTGTGGGGGCCGCGTTCACAAATATGCAGGTGAGAAAATGTTCAGTGAGAGCTAAAGAATATTTCAGGCCTATATAGCTTTTTTAAATGGGAATCCATCAGAAATGAGGAGGCTGCCAATGATGACTTGCTTTTGGAAATACAAGCTATGGGGCTGTCATTCTCATCCTTCACTACTCAATTATTGAATCACTGATCTGGACTACATATTAACCAGTTGACATCCGCGGTGTTAAACCCCCTTCCCATCCAGGCCATTTTTCAGTATTCAGCGCTGCGGTACTTTAACTGACTCCAAAGTCATTGACTGCATACATGTTTGAGGTCAGTGACTCAATAGGTAGTGAAGAAAGGATGAGGAATATGACCCAGAGCACGCATCTTTTAAAGACCTATTTCTATGACAACCGCTTTCCTTTAACAGTTTGCGTCTGTATGAAGTCTCTTAAAGAGACCCTGTCACTATTTTAAAAATGCAAACCAATGTCATGCCTGCACATTTTCACAGGAACTACACTGGCTGAAAAACCTTTTTTAAGGTGTGTTGGATGCCTTGCCCCCCATTGCTCACTGTTAGTTCTTTCTTCTGGCCCTTGCATCACTACATGACACAATAATGGCTTGGCGTGAGGAGGAGGAGGAAGGAACCGCAGCAAGGGATAAGGCTTGACACAAGAATTTGTGTATAGTACACCACTCAACCATAACATTATGACCACCCATCTAATAATGAGTAGGTCCCCCTTCATTACCAAAACAGCCCTGACTCGTATAGGCATGGACTCCACTAGACCTCTGAAGGTGTGCTGTGGTATGTGGCACTAAATCGTCAGTAGCAGATCCTCTAAGTTTTGTAAGTTGTGAGGCCACTGCCATCAGGGAATACAACTTCCATGAAGGGGTGTACTTTGTCAGCAACCATGTTTAGGGAGGTGGTCCTGAATGGCAGAACCCAAGCTTTCCCAGCAGAACATTGTTCAAAGCATCATACTGCCTCCACTGGCTTGCCTTTTTCCCATAGGGTATCATCTTGACATTTTACATTTCAAACGTGTACAGAGAACTCCTTTAGCTCTAACAATGGTGAATACAATAAAAACATTGGGAATTGGGTGCCATCTCCTCCCCAGATAAGAGGCACACACGCACCTGACCATCCACATGATGTAACAGAAAATGTGATTCATTAAACAAGGTCACCTTCTTTTGTTGCTCTGTGGTCCAGTTTAATGCTCACATGCCCATTGTAGGCTCTTTTGGTGGTCACCTGCACACAACAAACTCCGATCCACTCTGTGTTCAGACTCCTTTCTATCGGAACCAGCATTAACTTCTTCAGCAATTTTGAGCTACACTAGCTCTTTTATTGGATCGGACTACACTGGCCAGACTTCGCTTCCCACGTGCATCAATGAGCCAATGGTTCACCGGTTTTCCTTCCTTGAACCACCTATGGTAGGTCCTAACCACTGCAGACTGGGAACATCCCACTCACTTCCAGGTGCCATTGTTACCGTCAAGAAAAAAAGAACATCATGTATCAGTTAGTCAGACTGCTGGTCAAAAATGAGTAACATGTACTCTTTCCTTTTACACCCATTACATGTAGCCTAATATTTAGGAATATCTCCAGCCAGAATATTTTCTTTCAGTTTTGGGTAGGGAAGGGCTAAAACCTCTGTCAAGTTTGTCCCCATTGGAGAGATTTCTCTGCCCTTACTGTCCCCAGAAACACAGGAAGTTAGTGAAATTCTCCACAAAATGAGAAGCAATTCCACGTCTGACAGTTGCCACTGGAACTGGTGTTCCCATTGCAGGATTTCCTCTAAACCCCTGTTCTGGTGGCAACTTTAAAAGTTCTGAATTTCCCCTTAATTGCGCTGGAAATTGTCACCAGGACAAATAATGAAGTAAGTTCTCTTTCGACTGTATGCATAACTAGAGATAAAAGGTTTAGGCTGGAGGTATTCCCTTACCTGGTCTGTTTACTGTGATGAAAATGCTGTTTTTTGATCATAATCAAGTTTCAAAAAAATGACCTGTTGGCCTTTTGTTTTTATTTTTGTACCTTGTTAAGGTCCGGAAGACCGATTCCAGAGTGCGCCCAGCATCCTCTGATTTCAGTGCAGATACTTATAGTGTGATGTCAGAGTTTCCTCCAGGAGAAGATGAGTCTCCCCCCAGCAATAACCCTGGTCAGTGGTCTCAGAAGACAGGCACAGGAATCGGCATGGGACAAGTCAGAAGTTACAGTACCGTCCGAGGTCTTACAGCTGAGGAACTGCAGAGAGCCCGGGAAACCAAGGCCCTGGATGGAGCAGAGGATCATGGGAGACCCAAGAGGCAGAAGGTGACAGTTTAGTACTGGTACAGGGAAATTATACAAAGGTCAAGGAAGCTTCATTCTAAAAGTGATGCATATTCCTTTTTTATATCCACCGCTGATTAAAGTAGAATGCCGTAAAACAAGACGTTTTTGGATGAACTAGTTTGGTAAGGCCAAATAGACCTTCAATATGGTTATGTCTGGATTAAGACCTGCTAACCAGTCAGATTGTAACATTTTATTCTCCTGTTCCAATTTTACAATTCCAGGATGACTCTGATTGCTATATGACAACAAAGACCTTTCTTAGCTCAGGCATGTAAATGGTTAGATCACCCAAAACCCATGTCTTGGATACCCCCAATAGAACTTAAATGATAAGTGCGCTTTAAAAGAAAGTCCACTTATCATTTTAGGACCCTTTAAGATAACTCCCACTCCCCGTGTGGAGATGCATACCTATTGGGTTCTTATGGGCACAGCCTTGGTGGTTTTGTTAACCTTCTGCGACAGACGTCTCCTCCTGGCTGTACCTGCACAGTAAATCCAAATTAACTTCTATAGAGCTTGTCTCCCAACTGGGAGATGGAAGTAGATGAGCCCCATAGAAGTCAATGGGGATTTACTGTGCAGGTGAGGCCAGAAGAAGATTGTCACCGCATAATGCCAACAAACAAACGAGGCCAGGCCTGTCACAACTTGGCAAGTATGCTTCTCTGCACTGGGAGGGAGCCATGACGTCGGCTTTGTGCCTATGATTCGGGAGCCACAAGTACTTCATATTATGAATACTATGTTTTTATTGACAGCTCAGCGAAAGAGCTCGAGAGAGGAAGGTACCCGCATCTCGTCTCAGCCGCATGGCAAACTTTGGCGGTAATGTATTAATTTACTTGAGAAAATCTTTTGATTTTCTATTTGTTCCCTTAATCTTGCCCGGTAGTTTAATTTGTCTCCCTGAATCTCATCTCACAGGCCTAGCTGTCAGCCTTGGAATTGGTGCTCTGACTGAGGTGGCAAAACAATCTATGAAAGGGGAGAAGAAGACGGGAGGTGAGTGTGGATACCAGATTTTTACAAGGGCAAAAAACATTCAGGGCCCGTTACCATATTTATTTATTTATTTATTTATTACAGGTATTTATATAGCGCCGACAATGTACCCAGCTTCAGTAATGCAGATGTTGATGGGAAGATGCCCCACCACCCATTACACTTATCAGCCCCTGTTATCAGCCTTAGGCTCTGTAGGATATCTTTATTTCAATAACTGTACCAAAAGGAAGTGTCATGTTCCTGAAGTGATGATGACTGAAGTGTATTTTATAAGGATCATGTCTGAAGCCCACACTACTCTTGTTTGCCTGCTACTATGGCAGTGCTAGTAGATTAGCTTGTTGTAGGGTTAATTATGACTTGCTCTGAGTTTTAACTTCCATTCACAAAGTAGGTTGGATCACAAACTGTTGCTGTGCCAAAGATATTACCAATGTCCTTTCTCTCTAGTCAGCAGCGCAGTTCTAGAGACCAATGCATTCATGACTGAGGGGAATGCAGAGAAAATTGTGGACACACTGTGTAAAGTGCGGGGCGCTGCTCTGAAGATTGGTCAGATGCTGAGTATTCAAGGTAATGAAATGATAGTTTGTGTACCGGAGCAGGGGGTATCAAGCAGTTGTCATACTGCAATGTGTAGGAAACACAATGCAGGCTGCTTGATAATTTTGTCTCATGTCCACTAACTTGTACTTTAAAGCAGACCTTAGCTCCAAAAAACGACTTTTGCCCACTACAATCCTCCACTATTTAAACACAAAATGTCATGTCCCTGTTCCTGCAGCCTTCTGGGATATCACGTTGCATATCCCAAAAGGCTGCACCAGCAGGGACACCAGTGGCTGAAGGGGGACCTGGTGGCACATCATCAAGGGGGCGACTGCAAGAACCCAGAAGAGACAGTTTGATCCCGAGGATATCAGAGAGAAAGATGGCAGCACGGAACTTGGTTCAGTGGACAGCAGTTCTCAGGAGGACAATGCTGGATTCACTGGGCGGGTGAAGTTCCTCTTCAATTTACAACGTGTTAATGTGAACCAAACCATACCTGGTATAGATGAAACCAAGTAAGAAATTGTCTGTGTGTGGGGTGGCACACATTCTATACCCCTCTTTGTAGGTGGAAAGTGTTAGTTAAAGTAGACTTGGACACTTTGAAGATTTGCTGTCCATTGGGAAACATTTTGATATGTGAATTGTGCCTCAGCAGTACCTTTTCTTGTTTTTAATTCCTCCTGAAAAAGTAGCAGTTCATTTCCTGAACACATTCGTATGCCTTGAGCTTCATTGCTGTCTATCTGCAGTGCAAGATAATCTAAGGCACTACTGCTTCTGACAGCTTGTCTGACAAAATTTGGAGTAGGATTTGATTATGTATCCACTGTGGCACTCACTGGTCTTGGAAAGAAAGCTGCACCTGAGGACCTGCATTGATAGGATCTCTCTGCAGCCCTGCTCTCGGTTCCATTTGTCCTGCTATTCTGTGCTTTCTGAACCTCTTTCTGAAAATATTTTCCGCACCAGCCATCAGATAAACTGTCAAGTCACCAACAGCCCACAGAAAGCCAAAGGCAGCTTTTTTTTTTTTTCTGCTCATGTATGGGCGTTTTTACATTCAAGTCTTTATTCATTTGGGGGGGTCAATATAGCATATTTAATGTATTGTGGCTGTTTGTTCCACAGATAACAGCTTCATTAGTCCACAGCTGCAGAAGATATTTGAGCGGGTTAGGCAGAGTGCAGATTATATGCCAGCCTGGCAGATGACGGTGAGTGTCACCTTAATTCCAGGTTTATTGGAAATCTTAGGTAATCTTGTCTACATGGATAAGGGAATGAATATGTTCCTTTGTTTCCACAGAAAGTCCTAGAGGAACAGCTGGGCCCTGGCTGGAGAGACCGACTGGCATATTTTGAGGAGCGACCCTTTGCAGCTGCCTCTATTGGCCAGGTACACCTCGCAAGGCTGCTGGATGGGCGTGAGGTGGCTATGAAAATTCAGGTGAGTTTACTGAGATAAAGTAAGGCGCAATTAGGTTGTGTGTGTATGTGTGTGTGTGTGTATATATATATATATATATATAATATATTAGATAGACACAGAGATATATAATTTAATCCGTATTGTATTATTCATGCTACAAAATATACAATGTGCTAGTTGGAGTTTGTCTTCCTATTCAGTATCCTGGAATTGCTCAGAGCATCAAGAGCGATGTGGACAATCTGCTGTCAGTCCTCAAGATGAGCCTTGTTCTGCCTGACGGTAAGAGTTACAGTATAATGGCATTTCATAACAAAAAGCATGACACCATTATTCAGAAATCTAAAAACATACAAGAATTCCTAAAATGATTCCGGTTAGTGAGTCCTATATTATGTGGCACTAAACTCAGGAGCTAAATCTCAAAAATTGCATTCAAGCACCTTAACTATTAACAGTTATGTGCATCACTCGGCTGTAGATCCTCAAATCATCTGTGTTGTAAAGTAGTCACCAATCCGAGCTCACTCCTGTGATGGACTGCAATCTCAATGCAAATTAGTAAACTAAACATGAGATTGTAGTCCATCATGGGAGTGATCTTGGAGCGGTGACTACTTTACAACACACACAGGGACCATGGGGAACAAAAGTAGCCACCCTCCAGAAGGAAGGACAGTGTCGGCACCAATTCAGAGATGATTTGAGGATCTACAGCCAAGTGATACACAAATAAGATAATTTTTTGTTAATAATTAAGGTACTTGAATGTATTTGAAGATTTAACTCCTGAGTTTAGTGTCACTTTGAAGAAGCATTTTTGAGATGAAGGGCCACGGTACATTCCTTAACTACACAGGTTTTGCCATACTCCTGATAATTTTAATTTTGTATTTGCTGAGTTATAATTTAATTTGCAAACATTTAGCCCAGTATAGCTTGTTTTGACACCAAATGATTAGCAGTATATTAAAACTTTCAAATCTTTATCCAGGTTTGTTTCCTGAAAACAGTGTTCAGGTCCTGCAGAAAGAGCTGTCCTGGGAGTGTGACTACCTGCGGGAAGCCGAGTGTGGCAAAAAATTTAGGTAAGTTTTTTTCTGTTTTGTTTTATGCTTTATTTTCTTCTAATGCAAGTGTTGTTCGAGGGAAACCAGAATCCTAATAGTTAATCAACAACTGATACTCTCATTTGATATTCTGGACACTGTTGTACACACTTAGCAACCAGGGATTTTATATGTGATTTTTGCATATAGCGGTACATGTTTGAGCTGGCCAGCTGCATCAGAGTGAAGCCAATTTTGTCTAAGGGGAATTCTTTTAAAGGAATTTTACTTACCTGATTCCTGCTGCCACAGGCTTCGAGACCAGTGCCTGCAGCCCCCCCCCCCCAATCCACCTTCTCTGCAGTGGTCTAAGGGACATTTCACAGCCAGATCAGAGGGGAAAGAAATGAGTGTCAAGCGTCTGTAGGGTGGTGATCAGGTAAGTAAAAATGGTTTAGAGTATCCCCCTAAACATGCAATTGAGCCCATGGCAGGGGAATGTTTTTTTGCCCCCCAGAGATAGAGTTTTAAGTGCAGTGATGTTTTCTGCATTATGTTTGTTAGAGCCAACAGCCCTGTACTGATGGGAATTGGAGTCCAAGCCTATTCTGCACACCTGTAGGCATTCTTGTTCTTAAAGCATTTTCTGGCCTGTACTGCTCTTAAATGTTTACAGTGTTTTAAATTTGTATTAATCTTTGCTTTACAGGAAGCTACTGGGTGATGACCCATTTTTCAGAGTCCCTCAGGTGATAGATGACCTCACTACTAAAAGGTTATTGACCGTTGAACTGGTGTCAGGGGTGCCATTGGACCAGTGTGCTGAAATGGACCAAGAAACCCGTAATGAGGTAAGGCAAGCACTTCATCAGTCTCCCCATAAAATGATCATGTTGTGATCCATTCCATTTCATTCTTATGTATATGTGCATATTTTTGTTTAGATTTCGTACAACATTTTACGCCTTTGCCTGTTGGAAGTATTTCAGTTCCGCTTCATGCAGACTGATCCAAATTGGTCAAACTTTTTCTATGATGCTGATATTAATAAGGTTAGTATGACAACTGATATAGAACTTAGTCTGGCTTCCTCACTATATGAAAGAAAACAATCATTAATGCTAATTTATTTCTCTCTTGTTCATTGAGGGACACAGGATGTCTTAAACCTCTAGGTTATACTGCAGCCTACTGAAAGTTTGGGCACTGGGAAACGGGGGGGGGGGAGAAACAGTAGGACAGCCCCTACTACCAACTTGGATCAGTTTTTTTGCTAGTGTTCTAGGAGAATGAATGTCTTTTCTTGTAAAGACTAACCAGTGGCTTTTTTCTAGCACTTATTTCTCTTCTTTTTTGATTTTTTTTTTTTTTTTCTCTCTCAATGAAGTCTAGTCCACGTTGCTGTTGGGAGTATTCCCCTCCAGTTGGCACCCATCCAGCATGCACATCCTCAAAATTTATTTTGGGCCCTACCGCCTCCGGGCCCCACTACTTGGACTCTGCAGAACTAGCCTGGAAGTGAGCATTGGACCATGGGTTCCACATGGCGCTCTTTCCAGACTTTGGTTTTGGTTAAGTTAGCTGTGGAGCACTCAATGCCCAGAGCCACTGGCATTGACATTGCCTCTGCGCTTGTCTTGTCTCTGCAGACTGGCCATCATTATTTCTTATTTCCTGCATGCTTTACTGTGGGACTGAACACTAATGTCATCCACTGGATGTAGTGTTACATTTGCGTGCTCCGTGCTCTGTTTTCCACCTTGTAGTGTTGAGGTAGCATCTCCCCGCTGCTGCTCCTGTGGCACAGAGCCATGTGGGGAAGTCCTAGGCACCTTGTTGGAGGAATCTCTTCTCCCAATAAACATCATGGAGCTTTGGGTGATTTGGCATTGAAGCAACCTGTTAGAGAGGCATCTGAACTGGATGTCATCCGACCATGACACAGCCGTAGCGTAAATCCACTATCAGGGAGGAACCAGCAATCTTACTTCAGCAAGGGAGGTAGAATGGATCCTATGCTGAGCAGAACTGCATGTTCCAGCCTTGTTGGCCGTGTACATTGGTGTTGTAGACAGATTTCCTTAACTAGCAGCATCTGGACCTAGGAGAGTGGTCTCTACACCTGAAGGTGTTCCAGGACCTTTGTCACAAGTGGGGAACGCTGGATGTGGACCTCTGGCCTCCAGGTTCAACAACAAACTGGACAGATGCAGGGATCCATTGGCGGAAGCAGTGTATTCTCTGGTGGCTCCTTAGGATCACTACAATCTCATGTTTCTAATATAATTTGTATTGAATTAGAAGCTCTAGTATATCACGGGAGTGAGGCTGGTCCCTGTGTGTGTTGTAATGTAGCCACCGCTCCAAGCTCACTCCCGTGATGGACTACAATCTCATGTTTAGTTTACTAATTTTGTATTGAGATTGTAGTCCATCACAGGAGTGAGCTTGGAGCGGTGACTACTTTACAACACACACAGGACCATGGGGAACAAAAGTAGCCACCCTCCAGAAGGAAGGAAAGTGTCAGCACCAATTCAGAGATGATTTGAGGAACTACAGCCGAGTGATACTCAAATAAGAAATTTTTTTGTTACTAGTTAGAGTACTCAAATGTATTTTTAAGATTAAACTCTGGAGTTAAGTGTCACTTTAAAAACTTTGTGCTATCTGCACTTCAGAGGTTGCTGTTTGAACTCATTGGAGAAATTTCTCTCCCTACTCTCGCCCATAAGGTTGCCCTCCTTGTACAGTAGCTATCACCTCATGCGATGGAAGCATTTTAACCCCTTCGTGACTGACGACGTACAGTGTACGTCGCCAGCTGTGGCCTGCAAAGAACCTTTTCTGGTGTTTCATAGGGACCACGCGGTGTTGGGGTCCAGGACTTCCTCTTTGCCTAAGGTAGTCTCTGCCTTTCACCTTAACCAGGACATTGTTCTCCATTTTCTCTTTTGATCGGCGTGCACATTCATCAAAAGTAAGTTTCCCCTCCATTGTCTAGATGTAGTTTGGGCTGTGCAAGTCTTCAGCCATTGCATCTTTTAGAAAGACTGACTGACTCGTTTTTGTTATACCAGAGAGATATTGGAGAGGTACCCCAGCTTCTCATTCCTCTATCTTTAGCTGGCTCAGACAGATCATTGTTCAAGCTTATGGTCTCAAGGATCTGATTATTCTACATCATCTGTGAGGGCCTCTAGGGTTTTTTTTATCACCAAGCAACTATTTCCCTGATTTGCAAGGCTGCCACTTGGTCTTCTGTTCACACGATCTCTAGGTTTTGCCAAGTGGATGTTTGTGACCTCATCTGATATCAACTTTGGATGTAAGTTCCTTTTAGGCTGCTCTGCTGCAGGCAGTCCCCAGTTTTCTGAAATTTACTGTGGACAGGTTTAAGACTTCTTGAATCCCTTCCTGTGTGCCGTAATGAATGAGAAAGAAAAAAGTTTTTTTTGTTTTTTTTTAATTATACTTGGAAAATAGGTTAAAGTTCACCATTCTCTTCCCAAATAGATGAAGTACCACAACCAATAGAAATGCTTTCTTTGTGTTGCTGCCCTTTTGTTGGGTAAGAGTCTACCCCACAAAGAACTTTTATAAAAAAAAAAAGAAAACAGTATGGTGTAGTAGATACAATTTTTTGATAAAGTAGAGTTTTATTATATCCGGGAAAGGCACAATCCGTAGCTACAATTGCCAGTTGTGGTGTCAGCAAATGAAAAGTGGATGAAATGTATGCTAGAATTCCTCTATAATGGCCTTTGATGTTCTAGGTGATGCTGTTGGACTTTGGAGCCAGTCGAGAGTTTGGGGAGAACTTCACAGATGATTATATTGAGGTGCGTAATTCAGTATGAGCTATTAAATATGCTAAATATTCACACTACTGAAGCAGAGCTCATTTCGGTAAAATCTAAGGCCCCGTTCACATTGAGCGATTCGCAAATCGCGCGTTTGTTGCGCGATTTGCATTTTGCGCGATTCGCAAATGCTTTCATCAAAAACCATTGAATCGTGGCAAAATCCGCTCCAAAAAGGGTCCTGCTGTAGCGACACACGACCCGCGACAGCAGGACCCTTGGTCCCATTGCAAAGCATTGAAGAGCGATATCGCGCAGTAAATAGCCGCGATATCGCAGGAATTACCGCGCGATAAATCAATGTGAACAGGACCTAAAGGTGAACTCTGGAATTTACACAAAAGCTAACCTTGCATTTCTCACCCCTCCCTTACACACACACTCACACTCACACACACTCACACACTCTGGAAAGGGTCAAATGCTTCTAAAGGCTAAGGGTAGAGGAATAAGGTGTAATACTTTCCTTATCCCTCACTCGAGCAGGCTTCCTTCATGTGTGACTGGTCCCCAGAAGCCGCTTCTCTAAGGCGCTCTGGTGGGATATTTTTCAAAAGTGTTATATGAAAGAATACATCCCCAGACAAAATTTGCGCCATACAACCGATCGGCGGCTATAGAGCCGCTGATCGGTTATATGTGAAACAGGCTGTAAAAACGAGCGGGTCTTTCCTGCTCTTGCGCGCGCAGGAAAAAGAATGCCATGTATCTTATCTTTTGGGAAATAAGAGTTAGGGTTGTAGGCTCCCTTGTTGGAGCATCAATAATCCTGCTACATCATATGCTGTATCTTCCATGCTGTCACCAGCTCCGTAACCTCTGCGGCTTCTACAGGCTTTGTCATCTCTACATGGCAACAAAAAATGGACAGTATTGGGGATCCAGTGGTAAATTTTGTTCTGGTGAAACTCTATTTGTTACTTTCTGATGTACATACTTCTGAATAGAGAATGCTTCTAAAGGAAGAATGGTTCTTGCCATTTGGCAATCAGGTTTTTTTATTTGACTTTTTACCTAACTGACGTTTAAATATTAAAGGAAAAATCTGAATAGGTGCTGTACACGACATAAACCGTATGCTCTACAGATAATGTACACGTGATGCTTTAACTTAAACGTTTAAGACCTGAATACTGTTCTAACCCATGCAGGTTGTGAAAGCCGCAGCAGAAGGCGACCGGGCAAGAGTTCTCCACAAATCCAGAGATCTCAAATTTCTGACTGGGTATGAATCAAAGGTAAGAGTTCCAAATGTGGAAGAAATTGTACAAATACATGTTCATTGTATCTGACAAATGACTGTTTGTTGGTCACACTGTGATTTTTTTTTTTTTTGAGACATTAGAACAAATGTTCCTGAGAAGTTTTGAGCCTGTTCCAGAAATAGAAGCTCGTGATACAATATTAAATCTCTATGTTGTGGACCTTGATTGGGCATGTCAGTCCTAGATACAAGAACAGCACTCCCTACCCTGTTACATCATGCACAGTCATCCAATTACAGCAGGCAAAATCGTTGCAAGCACAAATAAGCCACTGCAGTTCAAACCTTTGAATATTCACTGTACAGTATCTTTAAAAAAATTAAAATGGGCTCAACTGCTTGGAACTAATTTGGCAATTTCATTGCAGGCACTGGGCATACGCCTATAAACACAAGTACTGACCTGAGTTCCTGAATGTGAAAACGTCAGTGCGTTTGCAGGTGTATACCCCTGTACAGCTTATTCTGTCCATACAATTTTATAGGCAGAAAATTGCAGCTATTGAGGCTCCCGGACTCCAGAAAATAGAGGTGTATTTTACGCTGTATGCCCATGCCCCTGTATTTGCGTCCACTTGCATGAGCCCTTAAGGGGTATACTGTGGCGTCTCAGTATACCGCGAGCTACAGCTCGCTGTATACTGAGCCTAGGGTGGCGGGAGGACGCTAGTTTGTGTCCTCCCGTTACCCTAAGGAGAACTATGGGGAAAAGCCTTAACCCCATAGTTCTCCTCCTTTTTAAGTCATTTTATTTCAGCAGCTCAACCCGCCCTGCTCTCAAGAGCTACTGCTCTGTGCTTATATTAGAGATTTGAAGACGTCTAAGTCACTGCTGGTAGGGGGGGAGCAGGGGGAGCCGAGTTGGCTTTATACAATAAATTCAGTGCTTCTACTGTGAACTCTGAGGCTGAATTGCTCAACTACTGTATGCCTACAACTACAGAGGTTGGTGATGGCTTGATTTATAGCTCATTTACTGGTTGTTAAGAATATGTAAATACTTGAATAGGCATAGCCTGGTCACATGTTCAGTTCAAGGGCTGCTATTCGTAAATGTAATAGTCAGTGAAATTTTACTTTTTACTTCAAGGGAAGTGAAATTTACAAGTAAGATGATGTTGTGTGACTGTTGAGGGCACTGCTTTGCCACTGTTGTTGTTGTTGTTGTTGTTTTTATTATTCTTATGTTTATTATTAAATAATTATGTTTTATTGTACAGGATTTCCATGGCTCCATCAGTGTGTGCAGTGCTTTACAAAATAAAATGACAGTACAATTTGAGGACAGGAGGGTTAGGAGGGAATATACTTTTAATGTAACAACTCTGCTGATGAAATACAATGGGTTATATCCATTCTCACTACATATAATGGTATATATTTAGGCCTCATTCACGCGAGAAATGGCCAGCACGTGCGCTGCGTGCACGCCCGTATCGGGCAGCTCCCACGAAGGACAGGTGCTGCGTGTGATAAGTATGCAGCCCCTGTCCTTCTCCGCTCTACACTCACCCGCCCTGCACGTCTGTGCGGGTGTCCATACTCGTACGCTGGCAGGATGGATCCTGTCTGCGTCCGTGCCGGGAAACCCGTACGGACCTGTACTTTAGGTGAGCGTAGGGCGGCGTACGGTTGCGTAGTCCCATAGAGAAAGACAGGGGCTTCTTACTAATATCACGCAGCACCTGTCTTTCCCGGGAGCTGCCCGATACAGCAGTGCACGCAGCACGGAGCTGCGGTCGTTTCTCGTATGAATGAGGCCATAAGGGACATGCAAAATTCAGTGTACTCCTGTCCCCTGGTTCTAATCTGGAATGGTTTGAGTTTGCCATCTGGTGGACGGAAGTGGTAATGCTTTTTCATTTTTGGGCCCAGCTTGCTGTTATGATTTGGCTGTAGCTGTGGTTAGGATTATGTGAATATGTGAATTCCTCCTCTCTCCTCCCTCGTCTCCTTTGTTCTTTACTGAATAGGGGGGAAAAAATTAACTTTAGTGCTAACTTAAATAATATATTTTGCAAATGGCAATCAATTCAATGAAGTGCATCTTCACAGCCAACTAAGAAATTCACTTTAATGTCCAGTATAAAAAAATTAAGGCTGGACACCTGTGAACAATTCAAGCATCCCCTGAGTTGTAAAACTTTTTCTTTAGCATGTTCCGCTAAATTGATTGCGTTCTCTACATATTAAAACATGTGATCACCAGTATGGCAGGGGTTGTGCTTTGGGATCTATATTCAGAATATTTGTATTAGAGCAAGGGGTGCTGTAAACTGACCCTGTCCTTTTGCCAATACAGGGCAAAGCAGCAGTGTCTTTGAACTTCTTCCTTCTCCAGTGGCATGTACTACCTTTTCTTTGTTACCACACTGCTCTTTTTGGCTTCAGAGACTGGGGAAAGAAGCCCTTTGCACAACCCTGATTCCAAAAAAGTTGGGACGCTGTGTAAAATCTTCATTAAAAACAGAATGCAATGATTTGCAAATCTTATAAACTCATTTTATTCACAATTGGAAATAGAAAACATATCAAATGTTTAAACTGAGAAAATGGACCATAGAAAAAACTGTAATTTTTAAATTGATGGCAGCAACATGTCTCAAAAAAGTTGGGACAGGGCCATGTTTATCGGCGTAGCATCCCATCTTCTTTTAACAATAATCTGTAAATGTTTGGGAACTGAGGAGACCATTTGCTGGAGTTTTGGGAGAGGAATGTTATCCCATTCTTGCCTGATATAGGATTCTAAATGCTCAACAGTCTTGTGTCTTTGTTGTATTTTTTGTTTCAAGATGCACCAAATATTTTCAATTGGTGAAGGGTTTTGATTGTAGGTAGTCTAGTTAAGCACCCGGACTTTTCTACTATGAAGCTATGCTGTTGTCATAGATGCAATATGCGGTTTAGCATTGTCCTGCTGAAAAATGCAAGGCCTTCCGTGAAAATGAAATCATCTAGATGGGAGCATATGCAGCTCTAAAACCAGAATATATCTTTCAGCATTGATGCTGCCATTCCAGACGTGCAAGCTGCCCATTATATACGCACTAATGCACCTTTTATACATCAGAGATGCTAGCTTTTAAACTGAGCGTTCATAACAAGCCAGAAGGTCCTTTTACTTTTTTTAGTCCGGAGGACGCGGCTCCCATGGTTGCCAAAAATGTCAAATTTCAATTCATCTGACCACAGAACAGTTTTTTTCACTTTGAAACAGACAATTTTAAATGAGCTGTGGCCCAGAGAAGACGTATTCCTGAGCCCACGCAGTGATGTCCATCACAGAATCATGCCTGTTTTTAATGCAGTGACGCCTGAAGGCCCGAAGATCACGGGCATTGTATATTTTGTGTTTCGCCCTTGTCCCTACTCAAAGAACGTCTTCGAATATCTACATGTGGTGGCGTCATCCGCAGTCATTTCGAGCACCCGTCTGTATATCTATATGGGAATCCCGGTAAGGAGTGCAGCAAGTATCCTTCTCTTCCTTGTCCCTTGCGCACAGAGATTTCTCCAGATTCCCTAAGTACTGTGGATGATGATATGTTTAAAGTCTTTGCAATTTTACCTTGAGGAACATTATTCTGAAATTGTTCCACAATTTTTAGATGCAACTTTTCACAGATCGGTGGACCTCTGCCCATCTTTACTTCTGAGACACTCTGACTCTCTAAAGGTGCCCATACACTGCACGATTATCGTACGATAATCGTATGCGATCGGTTTTTTAAGATGCAGTTTTTATACCCAATCATGTTACTGACCTGTTGCCAATTAACCTAAATAGTTGCTAAGTGTTCTCCCAGCTTTTTTTTTTTTTTTGCCCTGTCCCAACTTTTTTGAGATGTGTTGCTGCCATCAATTTAAAATTTACATTTTATTTTTTTTTACCTTTTTTTTTTTTTATTTTTTATTTTCTTCTTAAATTGGTAAATTTTTTCAATTTAAACAGTTGTGTTTTTCATTTTCTACTGTGAATAAAATATGGTTTTATGAGACTTTCTGTTTTTATGCGGATTTTACACAGCGTCCCAACTTTTTTGGAAATGGGGTTATAAGCTCCAGACTGACTTGTGGGTGCTTACACTTTGTACTCCTACCCTACCACCATGTGATAGCGGTGGGCCAGTCTCGAGGCACCAGTGATGTCAAATGGTAGTTAGGGCATACGCGTCCATGTGCAGAAGTGGGGATTTTACTTCTCACAGAGAATTTGTTCAGCCAAGGGAGGCTCTTGAACAGAGTGCAGTTAAATAAGGGGGAGTCGGAGAGTTCAATAGTAATATGAAAAAAGAGTAAATTTATTGAATATACACAGTAGACAAAAATCTAACACATTAACTGACTGCACAGTTGATACCTACTTTACTTCTCTCCTGGTGACTGAAAGGAGAGGGAGGGGAAATACTGCAGAAAAGGAAGATAGGAGACCCTTTCCTTTGCCCTTGTCAGGTAAAGGAACAGGTCAATTTAGGAAATCTACATGATGCTTATTAAACGCTTGCTGATGGTGTTTAAATTAGCATTTACATCCAAAGATTAAACAATGCATGTGTGTTCAAGGCTTTACCCTGTTCATAGACCGCATATGGAGGTCAGAATTTGGCCAGACATTATGCAATGAACTGTGGGGACCTGGCATAGAAATTGTGGCGTTCAGCTGATTCCGTGCCCACTGTTCCAGATGTAAATCCATCATGGCTGTCACTGTCCATGCTGTGAGGTACATAGTGTCTGTACAGCAGGCTGGTCAGACACAGTCCAGGACATTGCTGTGTTCCATTTTTATTGTTAAATGTTCTCCTGCCCTGGACACATAAGGCAGCCTGTTTCTCCAGAGCCATTGTAATCAGTGGTTTGATGTACAGTAAAGCTCAGGACATCCTTTTTAGAATGATCTGTTATATTGCAGATTATAGTACAGCAGCTACCTTTCCAGGCTGTAGCTGAGTACAGAGGTCCTCCTGGATTAATTGTACCAAGTACAAATGGCAAATGTCGCACAGTCAGCAAATTAGTCACAGGCAGCTAGTTATCTGTATAAAGAACATTTTGTTTTTGCAATTTGTTGTGATGCTACAAAGTGAACCTGTTCTTCAATGCAGATGTAAAGACAATGGGGGGAATTTATCACAACTGGAGCAGAGAGAATCAGGAGCAGTTGCCAATGGCAACCAATCCGCTTCTATTTTCAGTTTGCTCAGGTAAGATTTGAAAAAGATAGAGAGATGCTGATTGGATGCAGTGCAAATCTGTTCCAGATTTTGTCTGCTCCAGTTTTGATAGATCCCCCAATGTATAACTAAAATATAAATTGTTTAAAGTAGATACACTGGGCACCCTCCCTTTTAAATCTTGACTCCTCATAGTAGCGTTCACTGAAAAGTGAATGTCAGATATCTGCACATCAGGTGAAAGCTTGTTTTCTTTCTCATTCATTGAGCGACCCCAAAAGTCTTTCACCTTCGGGTTATCCTGCCACCCGATTGGACACTGGCAAACAGAATTGTAGGTTCTACTACGCCTTTCTACTACCAGTATGCGTCCGTTTTTAACTAGTATCCCAGGAGGATGGATGTCTTTTCTTCCTGTCTTTAAAAGACTAATATTTTTTTTTGCTAGCGCAATTTACTCCAATTTTTTGCTAGGTCTTATTTCTTCACTTGCTGCTACCCGGGCAGTCGTTCTCAGCCTGGCTTTTGGGGTACCGTATTAGACGCAGTTGGACTGGACGTTGTAGGGGTAGCCTGAAAGTCTCCTTTGCGTGATGGATTCCACGTGAGGCACTTTCCAGACTCTGTTCTGGTAACAGTTAGCTGTGGAGCACTTTCCAGGTGTAGAGTTGCTGGCATTGCCCCAGCGCTTGCCCTGTCACAATAGTCACTTAGTGAGTAGGCCAGTTGTTCAAGCATCAGAGCTTACCTCATTTACATAGGTCTCTGGGGACTTTATTCCCCATTCCCATCAGTTTCTACCACAAAAGGGGGTTAACCCTGACATTTTCCTCTAGGTGGAGAGTCACACTCCCTTCATGCACTCTTTCCTGCCGTACAGCATTGTGGGAAGCATCTTTGCGCTGCTGCTTCAACCTGCAAAGAAGTTCGATCTTTAATCCATTCCTGCTGTCCTGCTTTTGGTTACCTCCAGCAATCTGACCCTTGCCTGCTGACAGCTTTGCCCTGCCTTGCCAATAAGAGGTCGCAACATGTCTGGCTGGACATACAGATGACTCTGATGTGCACTGAGATGAAGTGGTTTTGTAAATTTAAAGTTGGATAAGAAAAATGTATATATTATTTAAAGTGACATTAAACCCTCAGATTTTTTAACATAAAACAATACTGTAATGTGTGCCTTACTGTAATCCATGGTTGTTTCCCTTCTCTTTGCTGCTCTTCCTTTTAAATCTGTATCTGTTCTCATGCTCGGCAGAACTTCTGTTTTGCAGCAGACTGCCTTGTCTCAGGAATGGATACACGGTGTCTGTGTATACGTTTCTATAGGCTTGTAATCTGAGCCAGCACTACAGGAAGAGGCCCTGAGCTGCAAAGGGAAGTTCTGCAGAGCATGAGAAGACATGAGGATTTAAAAGGAAGAGCAGCAAAGAGAAGGGAAACTACCATGGATTACAGTAAGGCACACATTACAGTATTGGTTTATGTTAAAAAATCTGAGGGTTTAATGTCACTTTAATCACATAGGCAGTCTAGCTGAAAGTACAGACATGCTGAGCATCTACATGTTGGCATGAGAGTCCCAGCTTCCTGCATAGATATACAACGTGGAAGTGTTGACGGTCTAGGGCAGGAAGTCCCTTACTAGAAAGATCAATGTGTGACATTTAAAGAAGGAGCCTGCACTGCAAACACGTCAACATGTATTAAGGAAAGTAGTATAAAACTACTACATAGTTTAGATAAAACAAAAGGAGATTGTACAGTCAGACTCTATTGTGTATGGCCAGCTTAACCAATGAAACTAGGATACCTATGTACCTTACTGTGAGTAACCAGTGATTTTTGGTTTTGTGTTCCCCAGGTGTTTGAAGAAGCACATGTAGATACTGTCATGATCCTAGGAGAAGCCTTTGCCTCTGAGGAGCCATTCAATTTTGGTACACAGAACACAACCAAGAGGATTTATGACTTGATCCCTGTGATGCTGAAGCACCGACTTACACCTCCACCTGAGGAAACGTACTCCTTGCACCGGAAGATGGCTGGTTCGTTTCTGATCTGCGCCAAGCTTAATGCTATTATTCCGTGCAAGGAGCTCTTTGATGGTGTCTATAGGGAATATTGGTCAAAACGCAGACGTGAGGGGAAGCAGACAGCCTCTGATTAAACCACTTTACCATTTTGTCACTTACTTGAACTAAATCTTGAAATTCTAGCAGGGCAGGAGAGGAGCAGGAAATCCTGCCTTTAAAAGAAGGTCATCTTTAAATGGTAATCTGTTTGGCAAGAGATTAGAGGATTTGTATGGAGCACGAAGACTTCGTTATGGTAATTTGTGGTGGAACACTGATGTATCACAGCGATAACTGTCCTTTTGCAGTTTTCACTATGGGTCCACCTTGCTAGTAAATGTACTTTCAAAAAAACACCTTCATTCTAAACAATCTTCACTATACATAAGCGACCTGTGGTCTTGGTGACCAACCAGAACTTGTAGTGCCTGGATTACTGAAATCAAACATACACTATATGGCCAAAAGTTTGTGGGCATTTCACCATCACACCTATATGAACTTGTTAGACATCCCAATTCAAAACCATGGACTTTAAGGCCTCATTCACACAGCTAAGTGTCGGCCCGTACAGATCTGTGCGGCTTGCACGGCCGTATCGGGCCGTTCCAGGGAAGGACAGGTGCTGCGTGTGATTGTACGCAGCAGCCTGTTCTTTTCTATGGGAGCACACGAACTGCACATCCTGTCTGCACCCGAGTACGGACACCTTCACGGATGTGCAGTTCAAGTGAGCATAGGGCTGGGTACTCCCATAGAGTAGAACAGGCTGCTGTGCAATCACACGCAGCACTTGTCCTTCCAGGGAGCGGCCCGATACGGCCTTGCACGGATCTGTACGGGCCGGCTCTTAGTGTGTGCTTTTCACTCACCTCCTAGTTCTAGCCGACCTGTGACAATGAGACTGTCACAGGTCAGCTCAGTAGATCGGGAGGTGAGCGAACACATACCGGCGTTCGCTCACCTCTCGATCCTGTCACGGCTCTCTGCTGTGACAGGGGAGGGGCTGGATTCCCCGCTCCGATCCGCCACCGCTGACTGGCGGAATGGACGGGGGAGGTGGCGGGTACAGCTGCTCTGCCTTTTAGCTAGGCAGAGTCAGCTGTCAGTCACACAGCTGGGCAGATCCAGGCACAATTGTCGGGATCCGCTTCAGCTGTGGCGTCTCAGTATACCGCGAGCTACAGCTTGCGGTATACTGAGCCTAGGGTGACGGGAGGACGCTAGTTTGTGTCGTCCCGTTACCCTAAGGAGAACTATGGGGAAAAGACTTAAGCCCATAGTTCTCCTTTAATGTAAATGAAAAAAAAAATATATATATATAATCATAAAACATTTTTAGATTGACTAGAAATCAGAGGTTTTGTCTTCATTGTTATCACCTAATTGGTAGCACCATATAAAAGATAAAAGATTAAATAAGATGATAAAAGATTCTTCTTCCAAATTAACGCACCAAAACCTAAACTCCTATTGCAGGGAATGTTTTTTTGTTTGTTTTTTCTTAATTAAAGTGGAGCTTTCCTTTTTAAATAGCAAGGAACAAATGCTTCCTTGACAATAGTAGAGCCTGAGCAACTTTGCGCACATTGGTTACCGGAATTTGTGCCCGTTTGCCTCTAATCTACACAGGCTTTTATTTTATGAGTGGAGAGATTGATACTTTGAATGCACTGTACCATAAAATGAAATAATCATGATGTGATGCAGTAGATATCTCGGACTTCCTTCTCTGTTTAACTTTCAGTTTGTAAAAGCTGAAAAAAATTACAGAAAGGAAGATGGTCATGGAATGAGTCACATTGTCCCATTATTTGCCGCTGTGGGTTTCATTAATTTACAGGGCTCATAGAGGACTGTTGTGAAAGATTTGTTTTCAGAACATTTGTTCGCCTTTCTAATAGTTAATGGGGGCAAATCAATTATAATATTCGACCACAGTGACAAACAATAGTCTCTGATGGTATCCAATGTTCTAATGAGATTTTTCTTATGAAAGTTCATTTGAAAATTTACCAGTGTATGGCCAGCATAACATTTCTATAATACCCCCACAGCAGGCATCTGACAACACCCCTTGCTGTCAGAATTGTAGAACGTTCCCAGCACAATGAAACTGGAACAATGGACAACACCCTTACTGAGGATACCGAATTCAGTTATCCAGTTTCTTCTTTAAAATCCATTTTTATATGAATTTTGGACTTTATGGGACATGAAATCCCAGCTATTACACTTGTAAAGTAGTTTTATGTTTTTTTTCCAAAACACATATTTACATATTTAAACTTTAATATATTTACTGAATATATTATATATTGCCTTAATGTAACATTTGTGCAAATGACAAAATATAGAAATTCTGGAATTCAAGTAACTGACACTCTCAAGAAACTGGCCAAAAAAAATCGAGATTCCGCAGTCAGCAGCTGAATGTAAATAACGGGAAGCAATAGCCCGTCTGTTATCGGCTATTGCAATTTGTAAAAGCCAATCGCAATCTGGCTATTCCTCCCCATTGTATACATTAACCTGCCAACTGCAGAGGCTAGCCAGCAGGTGAATGGGGCCTCAGGGGAGGTGTTTGCTTGAGAGTTGCTATCGTCTCTAGCAACCAGAAGCTAGAGTTATCTGGCAACTACTGATCCCCATAGGTACCGGATAAGTGGAAGTTTCGTGTGTGTGTATGTATGTGTAATATTAATTTTCACAAAGTCTGCTGCTTCAGTTTGATGGCAATTTGCATATACTCCAGAATGTTCTGAAGAGTGATCAGATGAATTGCAATGAATTGCCCAGTCCCGCTATGCCATGAAAATGAAAGTAATCCCCCCCCCAAAAAACATTTCCACTGCATTTCAGCCCTGCAACAAAAGGACCCGCTGACATCATGTCAGTGTTTCTCTCATTAACACAGGTGTCAGTGTTGACGAGGACAAGGCTGGAGACCACTCTGTCATGCTGATTGAGTTTGAATAACAGACTGGAAGCTTTAAAAAGAGAGGGTGCTTGAAATCATTGTTCTTCCTCTGGTAACCATGGTTACCTGCAAGGAAACACGTGCAGTCATCATTGCTTTGCACAAAAAGGGATTCACCGGCAAGGATATTGCTGCTACTAAGATTGCACCTAAATCAACCATTGATCGGATCATCAAGAACTACAAGCAGAGAGGTTCAATTGTTGTGAAGAAGGCTTCAGGGCACCCAAGAAAGTCCAGCAAGCGCCAGGACCGTCTCCTAAAGTTGATTCAGCTGCAGGATCGGGGCACCACCAGTGCAGAGCTTGCTCAGGAATGGCAGCACGCAGGTGTGAGTGCATCTGCGCACACACAGTGAGCTGAAGACTTTTGGTGGATGGCCTGGTGTCAAGAAGGGCAGCAAAGAAGCCACTTCTCTCATGGAAAAACATCAGGGACAGGCTGATATTCTTCCGAATATACAGGGATTGGACTGCTGAGGACTGAGGGAGAGTCATTTTCTCTGATTGGGTAGGGCAGTGGTTCTCAACCTTTCTAGGGCCGGGACCCCTTTGGTAACATTTGCCAAGTTGTGGTGACCCCCAACGGTACAATTTAGGGATGACATGGCTACTGCAACGAAATCTGGCGGCGTGGAGGGGGGACTGCACCAGATGCGTAACCGCTGGTGTAGGGCATCTGGAAAATACCTTGTCCAGAGAAGAAAAGGTGAGCGCTACCATCAGTCCTGTGTCATGCCGACAGTATCATCCTGAGACCATTCATGTGTGGGGTTGCTTCTCAGCCAAGGGAGCGGGGGGCTCACTCCCAAAGAACAGCCGTGAATAAAGAATGGTACAAAAACATCCTCCAAGAGCCACTTCTCCCAACCATTCAAGAACAGTTTGGTGACGAACGATGCCTTTCCCAGCATGATAGAGCACCTTGCCATAAGGCAAAAGTGATAACTAAGTGGCTTGGGGAACAAAACATCGAGATGTTGGGTCCATGGCCTGGAAACTCCCCAGACCTTAATCCCATTGAGAACTCGTGGTCAATCCTCAAAAGGCGGGTGAACAAACCCCACTTCCCCAAATTCTGACAAACTCCAAGCATTGATTATACAAGAATGGGCTACCATCAGTCAAGATGTGGCCCAGGAGTTGATTGACAGCATGCCGGGGGGAATTGAAGAGGTCTGGAATAAGAAGCGTCAACACTGCAAATATTGACTCTGCGTACACTTAATGTAATTGAGTGACAGTCACGGCTCTCTGCAGGGATAGATCGAGAAGTGAGCGAGCGACGCTATGTGTTCGCTCACTTCCCGATCTATTGAGCCGACGTGTGACAGTTTCATTGTCACAGGTCGGCTAGAACTATGAGGCTGAGTGATTTTCACTCGCCTCATAGTTCTCCTTTAAAACACTGAAGCAGCAGACTTTGTGAAAATGAATATTCGTGTCATTCTCAAAACTTTTGACCATGACTGTACATATAGAGATGGGTGCCTTTTGTTTTTGTTACATATGCATGCTGTGTCTCCTTTTTAGTACTGCCGCACAGTGATTGCACTTTACTGTTCCTCTGTGCTTCCTGCGTATGGTGCTCATTATATGAAAGTAATGAGCGGCTAGAAAATAATGCAATTATTTTTTATATCCGCTGGGAACCCTGGTGAAAAGATTTTCACACTTCAGGTCTGCAGACAGAATAGGGTGCCATTTTACACGTGTTTTTTTTTTTTTTTAGTAAAGTAAACCTTTAACTTGAACTAATTGATATGTGTGGGCTTCCACTGATCACCTCCTGAATATGCTGATTTCCTAGTTTTCACTGATGTGGAACAAGCTTGAAACCAGTGAAATCCAAGCACCTGATTGGCAAGCCTTTTATTAAAGTATTGGCACCAGAGCATCAGCATGACAGATGGCAGCTTCCATTTTCACAAGGGAAGGACATTGATCAGGCAAATTGCCCAGTACAAAGTGAAAAAAATCTTTTACTCAATAACTTCACCATGACGTGCTGTGTCTGCATGTCAAAATGGTGAAAATACCTCTTATATATTTAATTGTATGCACACCTGCCCTCATTAGTGGACTTTAAAACGAGGGCAGAACCTCAAGCCTATGACCTGCTGGTCTGTGCTTATCCTGATTGTTGGCCTATTCATTCTGTTCTTAGGTC